GAGCAGTGGCCTCAATGCCCGGGTCAGGCGGTACACACAGGTAACAGTCACCCTCAACACTAGTAGTCACAGAATACATGGCAGCAAGGATAGCATCATGTCAAGATCAAAGATGGCAACCCCCGCCCTAGACAGATCTCCCCAGCGAGGGATCTCTGACGCCTCAGGGAACTGGCGACGTCACGCGTCCGTCAGGCGACCGAAGCAGCGCTGGGTGGAGTGCGGGCCCCCGCACTACTCACCAGCTCGGTCGCGGGTATGAAGACGTAAGAGCAGGGACCAGTACCCCCACCGCGCTGACGCGTAGTGTACCACTCACGAAGCTGCTGAGGGGACAGGGTCACACCACTCCGCTGCTGCTGGCGCGGACTACCACCTGAGCCACTCCTCTGCGCAGAGTCGCGATCCGCTCCACCGCCGCCTCCGCCGCCTCCTCCACCTCCGCCTCCTCCGCCACCTCCGCCGCCTCCGCTCCCTCCGCCACCACCGCCGCCTCCTCCGCCTCCACTACTGCTGCCGCCGCCACCACCCCCGGCACCACTCCCACCACCACCCCCACCCCCTCCACTGCCTCCACCACCACCTCCACCGCCCTCGCGAGCCCCTCCAGCGCCCTTGCCCCCCTTGCCCTTGCCGGTGCGGCGTCTCCCGCTCGGGGCAGACGCAGCGCCGACCGACTCGAAACCAACGAGGTCAGCCGCAGCGGCAGAGGCAACAGAGGGCAAGAGGGGGGAGGGGGAACACCCCTCAAAGACGGGGGTGCGAGGGTCACCACGAGAGGCTCCTACAGCGACTATGCTCTTCTCTGCTGCTAGGAGAGCCTTCTCGAGGAGGTCAACGGTGAGAGTGGTGGGGCAAACTGAGAGGAAGTGGTCCCTGACTACGCGGAGAGAGTCAGGGAGCCGGGTGACTATGTAGTAGAGGGTGATGTACAAGGGGGGGGGGGGGTTCTTGGCGCAGAACTCAGCAGGAAGCGCAGAGCGGTAGCGAGTGTCACTAGTGCGGAGGTGCGTAATGAGGTCAGCGACTGTGGGAAAGGCAGCAAGGTCAGGGAAGAGGTACGGTAGCGTGAGGCGGCTCAGTGCAGCAGTGGCAGGGGAAGAGTAGCGTGCAACTACAGCGTCGTACAAGGTCTGAGCACTCTTGTACTGGCTAAAGTGTTGACGCTCAGTGGTCGGTAAGTGGCGGCGCACAGCACGGCGAGCAGCAGCATCGCGCGTGGCCCACTGTGAGCAAACAGTGGCGTCAGCATCAGCAGTAGGGGCAGGAGAGGCACCAGAAGTGAGGTCAAACAGGGAGAGACCGTCTGCCCTATCGCACTGTAGGAAAAGCTGCAGATCATCTACCCAAACCTCAAAGTCAACTGCCCGACCCTCAGCGTCAAAGGTGAGAACACTAGGGGTGGCCATGACAGCAGTAGACAGGCAGTAAGTACACTGGGGTAGGGCAGTGCAGTGGCAGAGGCGCTGCTCTTACCAGGTAAGTGAGGCGGACCCGGGCAGGCTGACAGGCGGCGGTGACTCGGCTGCAGTGCGGCTCAGCGGCTCGGCGGCTCGGCGGCGAAACGCGGCTCGGCGGCTTGGCGGCAAAGGCGGCTCGGCGGCTCGGCAGCACAGGCGGCTCGGCGGCTCAGCGGCTCGGTGGCTCGGCGGCGCAGCGGCTCGGCAACTCGGCAGCAAAGGCGGCTCGGCGTGGCCGCTGAAGGGCGGCGACGGGGCCGCTGAAAGGGCGGCGACGGGGCCGCTGGTAGGGGCGGCGACGGGGCCGCTGAAAGGGCGGCGACAGGGCCGCGGAAGGGCGGCGACGAGGCCGCTGAAAGGCGGCGACGGGGCCGCTGAAGGGCGGCGACGGGGCCGCTGAAAGGGGGGCGACGGGGCCGCAGAAGGGCGGCGACGGGGCCGCTGAAAGGCGGTGACGGGGCCGCTGAAGGGCGGCGACGGGGCCGCTGAAAGGGCGGCGACGGGGCCGCGGAAGGGCGGCGACAGGGCCGCTGAAAGGGCGGCGACAGGGCCGCGGAAGGGGTGGGCGACGACGGGGTTGCTGAAAGGGCGGCGACGGGGCCGCGGAAGGGCAGCAACGGGGCCGCTGAAGGGTGGCGACGGGGCCGCAGTTAGGGGCGGCGACGGGGCCGCTGAAAGGGCGGCGACAGGTCCGCCTAAGGGCGGCGTCGGGGCCGTAGTAAGGGGCGGCGACGGGGCCGCTTAAAGGGCGGCGCGACGGAGCCGCATGGGCGGCGCGTCGGGGCCGCAAGGGCAGCGCGACGGGGCCGTTAGGGGCCGTAAGAGGGGCCGTTAGGGGCCATAAGAGGGGGAACGACACGGGGCGCGACTCGGGCAGGGGCCAAGCGCGCTCCGGGCAGGAAAAAAAAGATCGGTGGGCCCTAGGAACAGTTCCCACGAGGGAACCAGCTCTATACCATGTGAAGTTTAGAACGAGAGAATGGTTGAGCTATGAAACCGTTGGGTACAAGTGCTAACCCTAATTGGGTTGTACCCCTTATGGGCTACCCCACTACAGCCTACACAGATGTATAAGCAATAATGGTCTGACACAAATGCTATCGGAGTCGGGGCATTTTTATTTTAAAAGCTCGCACCGATTGGCTTTGCAGCCCACCAGCCTATCACGCCACGTGATACCTCGGCTTCCAGGTCTCAGCTTCGTCGCTGCACTGTCAACTCGTCTAGATGCCCGGGTCAGGAGAGACCAGTAAACTACCGTTGTTGTCCTCGCAGCTTCCCGGATTTTTCGCGTATCCTTCACCCAGCCCGATTTTGTCGAAGTGGAACAGTGCCGCGGACTCCCCTATTTTTGGTCTTTCCGTGCGCGTGTCGAACGAGCACCAATCCAGGTGCCCTTGACCAGCACAGGGTAGGCACGTGTTCACCCCCATTATCATCCGAATCAGGTCGACTGTATGAGTCAGAACCAGTAATCGGTGGGGATGGTGAGGTTCGAACGAAGTAGGGTCGCAGATCGGTTCCACTGGCATTCAATCTGCTCCCCACGACGTTCTGTCAGTAGAGCTACACTGTGAGATCCCCGATCGATCCTAGGGGGGGTTACAGGCGCGTTTGCCTGGGGGGTTATGGGCGCACTGACCCGCTACTGAAACAAGCCCTTTTATCCCAATGGTCTAGTGGTTGGGATTCTGACATGGTATCAGAGCGGTCTTGGGTTCGAATCCCGGTGTATGCACATGTTGGCCATTGCCACTGTGCTTAGTCTTGGGCCTCCCAGTGTGGGGGGGTGTCAGTAGAGCTACACTGTGAGATCCTCGATCGATCCTAGAGGGGGTTACAGGCGCGTTTGCTTGGGGGGTTATGGGCGCACTGACCCGCTACTGAAACAAGCTCTTTTATCCCAATGGTCTAGTGGTTGGGATTCTGACACGTTCTTCAACCCCGGCTTAGTCGTCGTCGGGCAGTTTCTTCTCGTGTGTCCCGGCGGCCTGTGCCAGAGTCCTCCGAAATTGTCGAGGTGGTACGTTGAACACCGTTTAATCGCGGGCTGTTGCGGCTGTCCTCGAAGACGACTTCACGGGACGGGGAAACCAATCTAAAACTGTCAAACGTCTGGCAAAAGCTCCAAGCACGAAGCGTCAAACGAGTATTTTTCCGGTGTCCAGGCCCGAATTGCCCTCGCCGCCTGCGCCCACTCCATTGAGTGCGATTTAGCCACACTGTTGTTTGTTGCAGCCTACGAGGATCTAGGATCGAGCTCAGAAAAAAAAAATTGTAATTGAATGATTCACCTGGGTACAACAGGAGGCTATTTATAGGCTCGACACAAGGCAGGTAACCCGGATGTTGCGCGAATGTTATGAGGGCCGCGAAGCGTCCCGAACAGAACCTTCCCGAACTCAGTAGAAAGCAATTCAGTGGAGACCGAATAGGCTTGAGTTCGGTACACGTAACCTGGTTCGGTGCTATAACTATAATAAAATATAGGAATGCACCTAACCTAGGAAATGAAGCATATCTATGCATGATAAATAAAACCCAAGCTAGATATAGCATAATAATATTGCAGCACAATATCTCATGTGCCAAAGAAAAAAATTTGCAACTGCATCTTGCCAAATGTCTGGTAGCATGGATACAGAGACCCATAAGGCAACACTACAATCCACCTACTGAGCTTACTCGACCAAGAATTCTTGCAACTACAGGAATCAACCCCTCGGTGTCTGTTCCACCTTCCATTCCGCTAGGCCTAGCTGTATGCACATTGCCAAGAGGAGCATGCGTTATTGGGTGCACACCTGCATGCGCTGCCCTCAATGCGTTCTCCCCATTCCCCGTCTTCTCATGAACTCCACAACCACTCAGCACCATAGTGTCTGCCTCCAAAACAGCTTCGCCGCCTGCCTCCGCGCGTTTCTCTGCGAGCCAGGCTGTCAGGTCGTGAACAGTGTCGATGTCCCTCAGGCGCGGCAGCAAATCCAGTGGCGACACGTCAGCCGCCCCGTTTGTGTGGAGAGCTGAGAGTGACTGCTGCAACACCCTGTCCGTGCTCCACTCTATTCCCTGAAGGAATATGGGGGATGCGAGACGGGGGGGGGTGGGAGAGAAGGGAAGAGCCACGATGTGGGGTATTGAACTGTGTCGATGCTCCTAAGGCGTGGGAGGCAGCTATCCTGTTGGTGTGGAGTGCGGTGCAGTGAGCTACTGCTGCAGCACCCTGGCCGTGCTCCACTCTATGCAATGATGGGGTTGGCGGTGTGAAAGAGGGGGGAGGGAGGATGGCGGGGGAAGGAGTGGCGGCGAGAGATTGGCGTGAGGATTGGAAGGACAGTGAAGAACAAGGGAAGTCGGTGTGCGACTGTTGCAGCAACCTATTTCTCAAAAATGGCACAAGCACCCTAGTCCATGCCCCACTTTATGCCCTGATGGTGTGGAAGGGGGATGAGCACAAGGGTAAAGAGGGAGGATGGCAGGAGGAAGAGCGGTGAGGAGAAATCGGAGTGGGGAAGGAGGGGGAGGAGCAAGAGAATGTGATTAAGAAGGATGCAGATGAGAGATCGGATACTGATACGCATATGCATACATGTATGGAATGAGCACGTGCAAGTATGGAATGAGCACATGCATGTATGGAATGAGCACGTGCATGTATGGAATGAGCACGTGCATGTATGGAATGAGCACGTGCATGTATGGAATGAGCACGTGCATGTATGGAATGAGCACGTGCAAGTATGGAATGAGAACGTGCATGTATGGAATGAGCACGTGCATGTATGGAATGAGCACGTGCATGTATAGAATGAGCACGTGCATGTATGGAATGAGCACGTGCATGTACGGAATGAGCACGTGCATGTATGGAATGAGCACGTGCTGCACTTGGAATGACCACACCACACATGGTGACATGCCATCACATACATGGTCACATGCCCCACACACATGGTCACATGCCCCACACACATGGTCACATGCCCAACACACATAATCACACGCCCCACATGTATGGAAGAGGCAAGGCAGCACTGTGGTGTGCCCACGGAGGCAGTACCCACCATCCAGACACATGCACATACAAGACAACACACCCTCTTGGTCGCATTCCCCTCACACACACATGGGATGAGATGAGCACACTACATGTGATGGCATGCCTCTCTCACATACGTACATGGAAGAGGCACGGCAGCACTGCAGTGAGGCCAAGGAGGTAGTACCCGCCATCCAGGGCCGGGCCAAACACCACCTGCAAGGGAACCCAAGGGGCGCAATGAAACACGAGATTGACTTCACAAACAATCCTGATCATCAGCCACGCGCCTCTGTAATCCTTTCCTGCAAACCCATTCACATCTGCCACACAGCCCACTTCCAGCCAGCCCTGCATATTTGCTACCCCCCTGTCCTCCTCTCACCTGGTGGTGCCTGAGCGACAAAAGAGCAGCGGCCACAGTGGCGCCACCCACATCAGGGATATGTGATCCTCTCACCATCTTACTTCACAAAGTGCCCACACAATTCCCTTGTACCTCCTCTGACATAGTGGTGCCCTTCTTCCCCTCGCCTCCACTCACCTGGTGGTTTCTAAGAGCAGAGAGCGCGGCAGCCACTGTGACCCCATCCACATCAGGGATGTCGGTTCCGATCACCACCACCTGTCACGAGCATGAGGACAGCGAGACAAGCGGAGCACAGTGGAGAGAAGAGAGAGTGAGCAGCAGCAACAGCGGCACCACCCACATCAGGGATGTCTGATCTGATCCTATGGCGGAATGTGGGAGGCAGAGAGAAGAGCGCATGCAGTGGAGAAAGCAGCAACAAAAGACAACGGCTTTTCAAAGGGTGACGGCATGGACAGGTGAGGAGAGGAGAGCAAGGAACACAAGCAAGGATTCGAATTAAGGCCGAGTGAGCACCGGTAAACATGGCAACGACTTTCGTTTAGGTAAAAATGTCGAGGGTGCTTTCTTGTTAACCCTTGTGCAAAGAGTGGAAAACTGGGAACACTGCTGGAAATTCGATAAAAGAGTGCAAGCAGACTGATTTGCTGCTACTTACAGACTTCACAAAACTCATTCTATGGTATCAACATACATTTTTCCCGAACCTCACCCTACAGAAACCCAGTTGTGCTCTCACCCGCTGGTATCCCAGGCCCAACACGTGCTGGAAGGCTGCTTGCATTCGCGCCCCCACGTCTCCCCCCACCTGCATGGGGGTTTAAGGTTCTATGGTTCCAAGGTTCAGGTTTCGGGTTTAGGGCGGTGGAAGGCTGCTTGCATGTGCACACCCACGTCCGCCCACAACTGTATGGGGTTAATATTTGGGTTAGGGTTCTAGGGTTTAAGGTTAAAGTTTCATTTTTACGGAGGTGGAAGGCTGCTTGCATGCGTGGTGCCCCACGTCTCCCCCTACCTGCATGGATGGTGGCAAGGGAGCGATCGATGCATGCATGGAATGGACCATGGCATATGGGCGGCATGCGTGCCTGCGTAGCATGTGGGAATGATGGTTAGGAGTGTGAGCACGGGATGTGAGCATGGGGTGTGAGATTAATTATGGGCACTGGGTGTGAGCATGGGGAGAAATTGCAGAGCTGATATGAGGTGGAGAGCTCACCTGAGGCACAAAGCGGAGGGAGGTGGAGGAAGGCAGCAGCTGCTGCATCCACCGTCGGATCTCGCCTTCATCCGACGGCTCAGAGAAGAAGATGAAGACATGCGTGGATGCGTGCCTGCCTGCCACACCACAGCACCGGCTGATCATGATGAACATCACAGCCGTGACTGATCAAACTGAAGACCACAGCTACCTAGGGCACCGCAATGGTCGCATTGAGCATGGCATGAGCTACGAGATTGCGGCAGCATCATCGTCAGACATGCAATCTCTGCGACCATAAATGTATCTGAGCCACTCTTGAGAATTCTAACAAAGACTCAGCTGGACGTCACGCTAATAGCCCCGTACTCGCCAGAAGCCCTGCGCCTCGCTATAGTCACGTACAGCTCGGGGCAGCGCTCGATATTGGCGAAGACGTGTCCGCAGCACGCGTGGTAAAAGGCGACCTTTGAGTCGACTTGACAGTCACCTCGCTATAGTCACGTACAGGTCGGGGCAGCGCGCGATATTGGTGACGACGTGCTCGCAGCACGCGCGGTAGAAGTCGCACGCCGCGTCCGCCCCCACGCCGGCCGCCAGGCGCGTCTTCACGCGCCCCGGCGCTGGTCGCTTCACGAAAATCATCACCGCCTGCTGCGCGCCGAGCGGCTCCCGCGCTTCACTCCGCGCCTCTTCCGCTTCGCTCGCACTCACTTTAGGGTCGCTCATTCTGGCGTCGCACACTCCCGTCGCTTATTCGTTCAGGCTCGCTCAACAAGAACGAGGAGACTGAGGCTACTGAGAGAACGACGGTGTCTGAGTCCTGAAACGACGATGGCGATTGCCTCGCTGCGGGTGCGGCAGTCACGCGGTGCGGGTGAACAGCGAGAATGATCGAGAGACGGACAGCTCAGCTGAGCGTGTCGAACGGACGCGCCTGCGCTTTGCGATGTGGCGGCAAGTTTTAAACAGGGTGACTGGTCAACGGCCGTGAAGGGGGAAGAGAGGGGAAGAAGGAAGCAATGGTTGACCAGCAAAGAGAAAGTCTCTTTCACGTTTTAAATTATGATTCAGTGAGGTGCTTTACGTTCTACAACTTTCACAGATCATCAAATGGGAGAGTATTGCAGCCCCTTCTGCATTCGCTTGGCGTTTCCCTGTTGGCTTGCGGAGGCATTTGGTTCAATCGCCTATCTCGCGATGTTCTCGAAGCAGCTCGTTCACCAATAGGCTTCGAGTTCCTCCTAGTTGTCCAATGAGATCCTGGCTCTGGAACACCGACCATCCTACTTCCGGAGAATCACATTGACGACAGCACGCAAACGTCGCGAACGCAGGCGAAAGAGGGGGGATCCGTTGGCGGGAGGATTACCACACAACCAGATCTCCGCTGCAGCAGCGGCGTAGGAAAATCCTCAGCAACAATCCAATACATTTGCTGAATCTGTAGCTTACCTGCTCTAGTTGCTAGCTTCAGATCAGAAAAGTCTAGTGAAGCGGAGATTCACATATTCCTTGTGTTTTTTCGCCACGTCGTAGTGCTTCGAGCACAGATCACGACAAGGTAGTTGGCGCATACTATCGCATACTGTCGCCTACGGTCGCACACTATCGGATACCATCCGCCATTCGCCATGAGCGAGAGCAGCGCAGCGACGGCCACGGCGACAGTGGCAGGCGTCAGCTTGGAGCAACGCCGGGCAGCGGCCGACGCAACGCAGCCGTCCGTCGCGCCGGACGCCGGCAACGCGAAAGATACCGACGCGCTGAAGGACAAGGCGAAGCCACGTGGCGCGTCGCCGCGAAGGCGGTCCGGATGGCTCGTGCTGGTACTCGTGGTTCTGGTGGCGGCAGCGGCGGGCGCGGGTTATTATTTGAGGCGGGAATACAGCGAGTATATCGCAATCGACGACGACGGGGAAACCGAGAGTGAGGGCGAAGCGCCTCCGGCTGAGAAGGCCGGGACGCGGTCGAACCCGCGGAAAGCCCAATGGCAAGCCGATGTGAGTCGCTGCGTTCGTCGCTGGATGCGTCGCGGATGCGCGTCGTCTGTCGTTGCGTACGCCGCAAGGCTGGTGACAAGTGCCTGCGATCCGTTATTGCCAACCCATCCATTCTCGTAGTATCTGCGTCTCATCGTGTTCTTCGTGCCTATATACTCCAACGGTTAACTCGGGTGTACATCCTCTGCGCGCGCGTCTCATACTTGACGCACTCACGCACACACACACACACACACACACACACACAAACACACACACACACACACACACACACACACACACACACACACACACACACACACACACACACACACACACACACACACACACACACACACATACACGCACGCACGCACGCACGCACGCACACGCAATCACACACGCACGCACGCACACGCAATCACACACGCACACGCAAACGCACACTTACATTTTGCTTAGTCAGCTTACCCAATGCACGGGGTTTTTTCACCCCCATCCGCCGCTTCCCATCTGCGCGCTTGCATCCCATGCCTCACTTTCTCGATTGTCACTGGCTCGATTGTGACTGTCGCGCTAGTGACTGTATCGAGTGTAACAGACGCTGTGGAGCGCGGAGGAGCTGGCCAAGTACAACGGGTCGACGAAGGGCCTTCCGCTGCTTTCCATACCCATCCTCTGTTTCCCATGCCCATGCCCTGCACCCTCGCATGCCATGCCTCACTGTCCCCATCGTGAATGTCTCGTTTGTGGCTGTCTCGTTTATAACAGAACCTGTGGAGCGTGGAAGAGCTGGCCAAGTACAACGGGTCAACGAAGGGCCTTCCCCTTCTTCTCATGCCCATACTCTGCCTGCTCGCATGTCATGCCTCACGTGTTGCTTGTGACTGTATCGAGTACAACAGAAGCTGTGGAGCGCGGAGGAGCTGGCCAAGTACAACGGATCGACAAAGGGCCTTCCGCTGCTGCTGGGCATTCTGGGGTGAGTGGGGCGTGGGCAGGCAAGGGTGAGTGGCGCGTGGGCAGTCTTTAGGTTGAGTGAAGAGTGGAAGTTGGTTGAATGCCCACTATGAGGTTTGAAAATGGGTGCTGCTGGTGTTAGTGCAGGTCACATGCTGCCGCTATGCCCCATGCCTCTTGCTCCATGCACCATGCCCCATGCCCCAAGCAGCATGCCCCATGCCCCATGCACCATGCCCCATGCCCCATGCCCTATGCACCATGCACACACCATGCTCCATGCCCCATGCCCTATGCACCATGCACACACCATGCCCCATACCCTGTGCCCCCCGTGCCCTGTACCCCATACCCCATATCCCATACCCCATATCCCATACCCCATGCCCCATACCCCATATCCCATACCCCATATCCCATACCCCATGCCCCATACCCCATATCCCATACCCCATATCCCATACCCCATGCCCCATACCCCATACCCGATACCCCATATCCCATACCCTACGCCCCATACCTCATATCCCATACCCCATATCCCATACCCCATATCACATACCCCATATCCCATACCCCATACCCCATACCCCATATCCCGTACCCCATGCCCCATACCCCATATCCCATACCCCATATCCCATACCCCATGCCCCATACCCCATACCCCATACCCCATTTCCCATACCCCATGCCCCATACCCCATATCCCATACCCCATATCCCATACCCCATATCCCATACCCCATACCCCATACCCCATGCCCCATACCCCATGCCCCATACCCCATATCCCATACCCCATATCCCATACCCCATATCCCATACCCCATACCCCATACCCCATATCCCATACCCCATGCCCCATACCCCATATCCCATACGCCATATCCCATACCCCATATCCCATACCCCATATCCCATACCCCATATCCCATACCCCATATCCCATACCCCATGCCCCATACCCCATATCCCATACCCCATGCCCCATACCCCATATCCCATACCCCATGCCCCATACCCCATATCCCATAACCCATGCCCGAACGGGTTTGACATGACCAAGGGCGAAAAATACCGCGCCTCATTTCTGCTGCTCCATGCCCCAAGTTCCATACCCATAATACCCCATGCCCCGTATTCCATACCCATAATACCCCATGCCCCATATTTCATACCCATAGTTACCCATGCCCCATATTCCATACCCATAATACCCCATGCCCATACCTGCAGGGACGTGTTCGACGTGACCAAGGGCAGGAAGCACTACGGCAAGGGGCAGGGGTACAATCACTTCGCTGGCAGGTCAGAGCCCCAGGGTGCCACGTCAGAGCTTCAAGGTGCCAGGTCAGCCAGGCTCAGTGTCCCAAGCCAGCAGGTCAGCTCCTCAGGGTGCCATGTCAGCCTTAGGGTGCCAGGTCAGAAACTCACGTTGCCAGGCCAGAGCTCGAGAACAACTTCAAAGCGGCTGTGTCATGAAGGCCAGAACGCTGTGAGCCGCGAATGGATTTTCAGGCATTCGTGCGGTCTGCATATGACCAGACGACACCCCACAGAGCTCAGCAATTCAGCTCGCCTTTTGAAGCGCCACAAAACACGCCTGGCCAGGTTGACGAGTGTCGAGATGCTCCTGACACGCCTGCTGCGGTGCTTCAGTTATCATTTCCGATGTGGGATATCTGTGTTTCTAGACACTCTACAGCTGCTTAATTAATGCTGGTCGATAGGGTGTGCTTAGGGCAACAAACTCACTTCCTTGATGTGTCGAGAGTTTGCCTTGTATGCATCCCAGAGTGTAGTGCTCGGAGGGTTCAATTCAATTCAAGATGGATTCAATCGAACCCATCTCTGAGCGTGCAAGCTCGTGCGTTGCTCCTTTGCCATGCCATCGGCTGTCTCGCACTCACTCCTTTCCACACCTCTCTCACGCCTCGCCCTTTTCTTCATTAATCACATCCCCTCTCACAGGGATGCCACAAGGGCATTTGTCTCGGGCAACTTCTCAGGTATGACGGACCATGCCGTGCTATGCCATGCCATGCCATGCCATGCCATGCCATGCCATGCCATACCACACCACGTCAATACCATAGCATATAATACCATTCCATCACATACCGTAGCATATCATACCATATTGCATCATACCCTACCATACCATACCATGACAAACTATGCGATGCCATAGCATGACATGCATGCATGTGTGGTAAGCCGCTGTCCTATTCAAATTGAGCTCCTTTGTCCATGTCTGACCATCCAACATCCACCAGCACCGCTTGCCACCGCATGGCACCACAGGTACACCCTCCCTTTCCCCCGCTCTCCCTACCTGTTCAATCCCTTCCCGCCCCTTTCCATCCCTCTCCATCCTACAGGTGACGGCTTAACGGACGACCTGACAGGGCTGTCAGGAGAGCAGTGCATTGGCATTGCAGACTGGCGCGACTTTTACTTCAAGACCTACATGTGAGACGGAACCCTGTGCATGAGACGTACATGTGAGACGGAACCCTGTGCATGAGACGTACATGTGAGACGGAACCCTGTGCATGAGACGTACATGTGAGACGGAACCCTGTGCATGAGACGTACATGTGAGACGGAACCCTGTGCATGAGACGTACATGTGAGACGGAACCCTGTGCATGAGACGTACATGTGAGACGGAACCCTGTGCATGAGACGTACATGTGAGACGGAACCCTGTGCATGAGACGTACATGTGAGTTGCTTCGTGCAAGCAACATTCATGCGAGGAACCCCATGTGCGAGAGATGCATGAGTCTGTGCATGGGGCGCTTGACCCTGCCTGCCTTCACCCTCACCCTTTCTCCTCCGTGGATTGCCCTGCCCTCCTTCCTAGCAGCCACGTGGGGAAGCTGGTGGGTCGATTTTACGACGAGCAGGGGAAGGCGAAGGATGTTCTGGGCGAGTTTGACGAGCTGCTCAAGGAGGGCAAGCGGCAGAGAGACGTGGCCACGGCTGGGAGAGTGCAATAGTCAATCCGTTCTGCATTTATCCGTCAACCTGTGTCTCTCGGCTTACCCTTGCAGCCACGTGGGCCAGCTACTGGGGCGGTTTTAAGACGAGCAGGGGAAGGCGAAGGATGCTCTAGGCGAGTTTGACGAGCTGCTCAAAGGAGGGCAAGCGGCTGAGAGACGTATCCAAGGCAGCGGAGAAGAAATATTCCGGGTGCAAGCTCCTTCCCAGCTCCTCCCTCCCCACGCATCTCTCCCCACGCCCTTTTCAACACTCATCGTTTGAGGCGTCTCAGTGGCCAAGGGGGTGGAGAAGAAGTACCCCGGGTGCGCAAGGTGGGGAAGAAGTACCCCGGGCGCAACCCGTGATGGGCGCAGAACGAGGGCGGCAAGGTAACGTGTCCCCCTCCCTGCTCTTTTCCAAGTCCTCCCTCCGCTGCGCATCTCTCTCCAACCCCCATTCCCCACTCATGGTTCTGCGTTCCTGCCTTGTTCCCCACTGCTCTTCCCTTGCTCAATACCTCCCTGTTCCTCCCTCCTCGTTGCTCCTTTCTCTCACAAGGCTGATGCGGTGGAGACGAGGTACCCTGGATGCATTCTTTCATTCTTAGATGGGCTCAGAATGAGGGCGGAAAGGTGGTGTCTTTCTCTCCTCGCATCTACTCCCCGCCGTCTCCACCCTCCCTGCTCCTACCCCCTTCTTGCCCCTCTCTCCCCCTCCTTTCTTGTGAGGCACCCCAATGCTGTGGAGACGAGGTACCCCGGGTGCAACTCGCGATGGGCTCAGAACGAGGGTGGGACGGTGCAGCCACTCTCTCTTCGCGTTCACTCCCTGCCCTGCCCTCTCCTCCCTCCCCGCTCCAACCTCCTCCCCCACCGGAGAGAGCATTGTAGTTATAATTGTCAGTGCCACTGATTGGTGCTCTACACCATGCTTATAGTCTGAGAATTCACACACGCATGAATCTCTTGTGGGTTGCATTGCATACAACGGGCAGCCTGCTGCTTGTCACACCAGCATGTGCACGTACGGTAGTCTTTTCACATTGACTGCTGTTTTGTTGAATGCCGTAGGAGTTATAAATTGGAGTGATAGACTAAACAAAAGCCCAACAAACCTTCAACAACATCCGAACAAGCTCCCACCCACCCGAGAACAACCATGCACCTGCGCAACTAAAACGCTAAACAGAGCAATTCACGTCACCACACTATCTTGAATTGAAGACAATTCAGTCACTACCTCCCACGTGGCAGGTCACGGAACCCGTTAGCAGGTCACAACGCATCAATCTTTTGGGGATATTGTCACCCTTACAAGTGCACATAGTCAAGTCTTTCCACGTTGACACTGCCGTTTTGTTGAATTTAGAATGATAAATTGGAGTTCCCATGAACCATAAACAACTGGAAGTTCACATGCCCAACGTCCGAACGACTTCCGGCCAAAAAAAGTCCATGCACCTAAGCAAGCAACTACAACGCTAGAACAATTCAAGTCACCTTACTTTCTTGAAATGAAGACACTTCAGTCACTACCTCCCACTCGCCAGGTCATCGTACGGTGGACCTCTCGTTTCATATTCCTGCGTTCGCCGGTCACTGAACCCGGATCACGGTGCCTTTCGCGACGGGGTCCTTGCAGCGGCGACCGTTGTTGAGCGCCGCGAATCGTAACTGCTTGCCGCGGAAGTACTGCTTCAGCAACACGCTGCACGACTCGCCGCGCGTTTCGTAGTACTCCGGCACATTCATTTTGTGAATCAGCCTCCCCGCCGTTAACGGAACTGGGTTACACATATAAAACAACTTGATAAGTAGCTGAAGTTTCCAACGGATCAGCATACAACGGATCAGCATGCTCGACGGACCAAGTAGGTTATCCAGCGAGAACAAAACGGATTTGATGTTTAAACGTACAGTAGGGGTGACATCAATTCTGACCGTGGCGCAACTCACCGTGGGAAACGAGGAGAAGAGCCAGTGCCAACACCAGCATGGCGCGGACAACATTCACGAGCCTGAAAACCGTTGCCATGGCTAGGGAACACAATCCCGTTGCCTGCTCCGAACAAATCGGCGACGTCGATTTGCCGTAGTTTCTTCTTCTTCATGGCGGCGATTGCGAGGAGAATTCGTAGCAAAGTATGTCGGCTGACCGGGGCAACCGTCTCGGTGAAATCGCGTCCGTGCTCTCTTTGTCAAAACCGCGTACAACCCAGCGCACCTTAAACTTGTTGATGGTGTCGTCTGCCTTTGTTTTCACACGGAAAACCCATTTTCCGGTGAGTACGATTTTGTTGCGTGCCACGCCGATGGGAATGATTTTCCAGGTGTTCCGTTCTTTCAGCGCTTTCAGCTCCATATCCATGGCTTCGCGCCGTTTTTCCCTATGCTCCCCCCCCAGAGCCTGCTGAACTGTGGCAGGCTCCTTAGGAATCTCCGTGCCATGAACCGCAGTAACGAGGCCAAGTATCTGGAGTCCGCTCTATGTGTAGCGGGGGAGTGTTGTGTCCTCGGGATAAGCTCCTTCGTCACCAGCTTCTGGGTCAGGTAAGAAATTTGGTCCTATGCATTCGGCTTCGTTGGTGTTGACTCAGGCGGGTATAATGTAACCAGTGTCAGCGAAGTCGTAGAAGACTTCGGCGTTGATGCTCTCGCGAGGGTTGTCGTCGTCCATGGGAATATCCACCAAGCAGTACCGAAGAGGTTCGGCTTCTTCCTAAGCTCTGTCCATGGTCTGTTCGACCAGGTCATCTTCATCTTTTGCCGAAGCGAAGGCTCGGTAGCCACGAAATCCGCCTGTGACATCCCGTGAGGTTTCTAGATTGTAGAGGTACATTGGAAGGGTGAGACGTTTGTCGAAGATGACATTACGTGCTGCCACTATTACCTTAGTGTTGATGTCGAAAATCTTCCATGCGTTGTAATGTTTTTCCATGCCCAGGTGAAGCCCCCATTGTGCGCGTTGGGAGAATCGGTCGGCGCGTGCAGCTGGGGGTTGGTACTGTACCATGCAGCCAAACACTCGTAACATTTTTGTGTTGCCCAATTTCCCTGTCCACAGTAGATGCGGTGATGCGTTGTTCGGGAGCGATGATGACGAACGCAAGTTGTGCAGTAGGACAGCATGGTCCATCGCATCAGGCCACTGGTGGTTGGGGAGCGCGTAGCAGTTTGCGCATGGTGTTCTGGAGGGTCATGTTCATCCTTTCTGCTACACCTTGCTGTTAATGAGCGTAGGGAAGAGAGAGGAGTCTCTTGATGCCTCTCTCCGCCAGGTACTGTATGAACGGTGTATTCTCCTCCTCCGTCTGACTGGAAACTTTTCAGCTTCACTCCTGATTCTGGTTCTGCTACTAGGAGCCAAGCGACGAAGGCGCCGAAGGCCATGTCGCGACTTGGAAGGTTAAGATGCAAGACATATCGTGTGGCGGCGTCGATGAAGGTGATGACGTAGTTGTACGCTCCTTGACCGGGCTCGCGATTGTACAATATATCGCTGTAGACTTTCTCCAGAGGTGCGTATGCCGATGCACTTGGGTTGTGGTGAGGGATGAAGGGCTGATGTGGTAAGTCGGCTTCAGGGCAAGTGAAGCATGTTCCTCGCATTCGTTGAAGTTCTCTTCCGTCGGGTAAAAGCATAGAGTCTTTGTCAAGTACGCCTGCTCTTATTGTGTTATTTAACGTTGTGTTGCTTGGGTGTCCCATTTGTGAAAATGAAAACGAGAATGCATCAACTATGAATGAAGTGGGTACATATAGGAAACCCTAAATGGGTTGTACCCCCTATGGGATGCCCCACTATAGCCTACACAAGAGCATAAGCTATAATGTTCTGACACACCCCCATAGGCAAAGTGGGGGAGAACAAGGAGTCACAAGACCAGTCAAGGAAAGCAAAGCAAAGCAAGCTCAGGGTGGATCACAAAGTCACCACACAATCTGAGCACAAGGACAAGGCCACAAGGCCAATTCACAAACAAGAGTACACACATATATATAAAGCTAGACAAGCAAGAGCAAGTATACATATATGTGAGAGTACAAGCAAGGTCAAGAGGAGAGCAAGTGAGGCAAGACGGGCACAAGACCCAGCTGAGTGCAGAAGCGCTGATGATCACAAGGCGCAAGTGCCTTGGTGAAGACATCAGCAGTGTTGGCCTCAGAGGCCACGTACGCAAGCCGCAACTATCCACGCTGCTGTAGCTCACGAGCAAGGAAGTAGCGGAGAGCAATGTGCTTCGTTCTGTGCTCTAGTCGCTGCTCTCGACACAAGGCCAGCATGGCCTTGTTGTCTACGTACAGGACTGGAGGAGAACGAGTCGGCTCTCCAAGGTCGGTCAGCAGGTAGGTGAGCCAGCGAAGCTCCTGTGCAGCCATGGCCCCGGCGTAGATCTCAGCCTCACAAATGGAGCCGAGAATAGAAGACGAGCGAGTAGCCCGCCACGAAACAGAGCTAGAACCAAGGCTGAAGGTGTAACCCTGTGACGACCGCTGCGTAGCCTGGTCGTCAGCCCAAGAAGCGTCCGCGTGCCTAGTAAGGACCACTAGACTCTGCCCTCCAAGCACAAGCCCCATGCCCGACGTATTGCACAAGTAGCGCAACACCCTCTTCGCTGCAGCCATGTGCTCTGGTCGGTGTCTCCCAGGAGCAACATAGCGTGCGAGAATGCTAAGAGGGTATGCAAGGTCAGGACGTGTGCAGGTCATCAAGTACATGAGGCAGCCAACAAGCTCTGGGTACGGGCCACTCGACTCTACGGACTCATCCGAAGGCAGAGCTGAGAGCGAGTGGCGAGTAGGCAGAGGAGTGGCCTGAGGCGAGGAGTACGTGAAGCCGAAGCGCTGAAGGACCTGCTGCACCATGTGTGACTTAGTCAGGGTAATGGTGCGGCGTGCTCTATCCTGAGTGATCTGCAAGCCAAGGTAGCTGCGCAGTTCACCCAGGTCTGTGCACGTGTGTCTCTTCTGCAACTCGGACTTCACGTAGGCGAGTCCAGCAATGTCAGCTGTGGCGA